CAATACATCCCAGCCAAAAGATCCCGGTATGGCATCAAGCTATACAAGTTATGTGAAAGTAGCAGTGGGTATGTTTATACCTTCAGAATATATGAAGGTAAAGATAGCCACCGGGATCCCCAGGTTGCCCTGATGTAGTTGGGACTAGCGGAAAAATAGTTTGGGATCTAATGAACCCGCTACTGAACAAGGGGTACCACCTCTACCTTGATAATTACTACAATAGCATACCCCTCCAAAAAATGCTATATTGTTTTGAGACTGTGGTCTGCGGCACTATCCGCAAGACACGCACTGGCTTCCCCAAGGCTCTGGCAGAGGAAAAAATTAAAAAGGGGGAAACGGCTGCTCTATGCCAGGACGAACTGCTGGCTCTGAAATACAGAGACAAAAAGGTGTTCATACTGACTACCATGCACAGTGAACACACACGCAGGGTCGCAGTTCGTGGCAGACAGGAAACAAGACGGCTGCCTGTCTGCATTAAGCAATACAATAAACACATGGGGGGAGTTGACCTGTCTGATCAACTGCTGCAGCCATATCTGATAATGAGAAAGACCAGGGCCTGGTATAAGAAAGTGGGCATTTATTTAATGCAAATGGCTACTCACAATGCATTCATCCTTTTCAAAAAGGCAAATCCTCAGCTGAAATGTACTTTTCTTACATTTCAGTTTCAGCTAATTTCTGTGCTGCTCACTGAGTGCCACAGTGGGGAGCCATCAGCAGGGCCTAGCAGCAGAGATATTCAGACAGGTCACTTCTGCTTTCGGATACCACCAACCCTCAAACAAAAAAAGAGCCCCCAGAAAAGGTGCAGGCTGTGTTACCAGAAAGGCATTCGAACGGAGACCAGTTTCTACTGCCCTGATTGTCCCTCTCAGCCTGGCCTTTGTATTGGGAACTGTTTTAAATTATTTCATACTCAGAGCCAATAAATTCTCAATACAATTTTTTTTTTACCTTTTATTTAGTTAATTGGGGTGGATGATAGTTCCTGGGAAATTGGGGAGTTTAGTGCGTATGCTAGGGGTAGAAATACAAATTAAAAAAAACAACAAAAAAATAAAATAACATTGTTTTGTTAAAGTTCTTGTGTAAAAAGTTTAAAATGCTTTGGAAGTACAGTTAGAGAATTCTGACAGCGGATTCAGAGGTGACAGACAGTGCCTCAGAGTTTGACCCAAAATGGGACATGGACCCGGCGTAAAAATTCAAAGTTTGAAACAGACCTGAAATTGCCGAGTCTCAAATTTGCCCCTCCAACATCCACATATACCTGGGAAAGGTACACACAGGGGTATTGCTGTACTCGGACGACATAGCCGAGTGACATATGAAGCGTTATACTGCCGTAGCACACCTAAGGATTGTAAACTATGCAGTAAAATCTCAAAGTATGTGTCAAAAAGGCAGAGAAAATGCTTACTACTACTAGACTTGGTACTCACTAGCGAAAAAATGATCCCACCCTAAGGTTCAAAATGGGCCTTTTGAAATACCCTGGGGTGTCTTCTTTAAAAAATGGTAGGCCTTTGTGGGGGAAGTTTGAATTCTCAACCTGTCAAATGCCCCAAAATGGGACATGGACCCGGCGTAAAAATTCAAAGTTTGAAACAGACCTGAAATTGCCGAGTCTCAAATTTGCCCCTCCAACATCCACATATACCTGGGAAAGGTACACACAGGGGTATTGCTGTACTCAGACGACATAGCTGAGTGACATATGAAGCGTTATACTGCCGTAGCACACCTAAGGATTGTAAACTATGCAGTAAAATCTCAGTGTGTGTGTCAAAAAGGCAGAGAAAATGCTTACTACTACTAGACTTGGTACTCACTAGCGAAAAAATGATTCCACCCTAAGGTTCAAAATGGGCCTTTTGAAATACCCTGGGGTGTCTACTTTAAAAAATGGTAGGCCTTTGTGGGGAAAGTTTGAATAAGCAACCTGCTATTAGAACCCAAAATGAGTCATAAACCTATAAAATTCTGTAAAAACTGAAATGGTCAGGTCTCCTATATGGAAGTGTAGCATCAGGAAATACGACTAAAGGCATACATTGGGGGTATCGTTTTTCTCACAGGAGATAGCTCAGCATAATTAGGGGTGTTTGATCATATTGGAACATATCAAATATACAAAATGCCCAGCACAAATGTAACGCATAAGTTAAAAATGCAAAAAAATATTTTTTTACCACAACCTTTGACATATCATGGTGAAAAAATGGCGACATGTTAAGGCACAATATATGCCATGTGAGATACTCTGGAATGTCTACTTTCACAAATGGTAGGCCTTTTTGCGGTTTTTGAAACAGTCAAACTGCTATTATGTGCAAAAAAACAGAGCTGTATATACTGTACAGAAATAGGGCGCCACTTATCACCAGATATACATACTGAATATAGTTACCCTCCAACGAGCAGATGAGGATATTCACATAAAAGATATAAAAAGAGAAAACATCATAGTGCAAACTTTTAATCCAAAATGGTAAAAAACATAAATAAAAACACTCACAAACGGTGTGGCACAATTGATGAAATCAATATGTGCTAAAGTGCTGATGCCTATAATAGGCTAAATCTTCACCATCCACTCTCTGTTTTATGAAACTGCTATAATGGCCCAAATTGAAACATAACCCCTGCAAATCCGTCTCTCAAAATTCTACTCTAAAAACTGAAATGGTCAGGTCTCCTTTATGGCACTGTAGCGTCACCAAATAGTGTCAAAGACATACATTGGGGGTATTGTTTTACTCAGAAGACTTAGCTGAGCATTATTAGGGGTGTTTGATCATAGTGGAACATATCAAATATACAAAATGCCCAGCACAAATGTAATGCTTAAGGAAAAACTGCAAAAAATATTTTTTTACCACAAACTTTGACATATAATGGCGAAAAAATGGCGACATGTTAAGGCACAATATATGCCATATGAGATACCCTGGAGTGTCTACTTTCACAAATGGTAGGCCTTTTTGCGGTTTTTGAAACAGTCAAACTGCTATAATGGCCCAAACTGAAACATAAGCCCTGCAAATCCGTCTCTCAAAATTCTACTCTAAAAACTGAAATGGTCATGTCTCCTTTATGGCACTGTAGCGTCACCAAATAGTGTCAAAGACATACATTGGGGGTATTGTTTTACTCAGAAGACTTAGCTGAGCATAATTAGGGGTGTTTGATCATAGTGGAACATATCAAATATACAAAATGCTCAGCACAAATGTAATGCTTAAGGAAAAAATGCAAAAAATATTTTTTTACCACAAACGTTGACATATAATGGCGAAAAAATGGCGACATGTAAAGGCACAATATATGCCATATGAGATACCCTGGAGTGTCTACT